AACAGTGGATCAACGCGCCCAATAGCATGTCAAATGACTGTCCCAGCCCCGTCTCAGGTGGTGTGAAGATGTGTGTGACAAAGGCAATTAGAGAGCCCAGGAGTGATCCCAGCCAGGGCAGACTGTGTTTATCACCACTGACAGCAGTGAGACACACTGTGGGAATCTCTTGAACCTTATTCCATCCTGAGGTGGGCACGAGGGATCATCTCAGAGGCAAGAACACCAAGTGACAGGGCTGTGACCAGCACCCTGGCCAGGGACTCGGTGAAGTCCAGGTCCTGCCTCCCCCACCACATCACTCCAATTATGAAGCACGTCAGCCAAAAATAAGTTCAATAAAAAGGTTCTACACGGTCTACATTTATATTCCTCTGAAGAAATCAAGCTTCACTATAAAAGAGTCTATTTTAAAGGAAGAACTGGATACTTTTCACATAATTTGTGATTCCTTAATTGGCTGGGATAAGGAGGATTTTTACTAAGATCTATTAGCACAATGACAGTAATACTCTGAAGTCACTTTCACGTCATACACACAGTTTTAAAAGAACATGACAGCTGTTACCACTCACATTCACACAGTGAGGCTATCTTCTCTGAGAAACAACTGCACAGTTTGAGAACCAGAACTAAATACAGTATACTGCTAAAAATTAAGCTTCTACTTGATGGAATGACATGCTCATTAAACTGTAGGATCCTTTTGGATTTCTTTATGTAATATTAAAAGACTACTTTAGATGGATTCACCAATGTGTGGCAGTTGTCAACACCTCGACAAAAATTTCTAGACATTTTGGACATATACGGAAGAGTTGTTTAAATCTTAAATATTTTTGTCTAAATACATTTCATACACGGTTTTAGCTCTTGTTATTTTAGCAGTTGAATAAGTAGTATAGAGAAATGAGTTTCTACACTATATAAAAATAACTAATGGTTTTATCTGAATACAATGGCACTTAATTTACCTATGTGAAAATTATAGTGAGCAAAGACTTTTAACTAAGTAATTACATTAAATTATAGGCCATATCTACTCTGTATAAATTAAACCCTACAAAAATAGTTTTAACACTGCAAACTGACAATCAGAGTAAACATCCAAGCAATGGACTAGCCTCTCCAAACATAATTCAGTTTTAACACATGCAATATGAAAATGTCTATATCTTCAGACAGGATTATGAAGCTGTTGAATGCTTGTTTCTGTCCATAAGCTAAGCACACCCAAGTTTATCCAGAAAGGAGGTCAGGGCTGCTCAGGACACCTTGAGGGCAACCTCAGTTGGACAGTGGTCCTGCTGAGAACTCTGCTTAAGGACACACTGGCTACCAGGAGAAAGCAGGTCCATTTTAAAAAGCAAATGGTACAAGAGTCAAAAATGAAAAAAAAAAATTTCCAAAAAAAAACAAAACAACTTTATCCACAAAGAAAAGTCTGGGCCCAGATGGCTTCACCAAACATTTAGAGAATTAATATCAATTCTTCCAAAACAGAAAAGAATATTCCTGACTCATTCTTTGAGACCAGAATTAATCTGATGTCAAACTCAGACAAAGACATTCTAATAAAACTGCAGACCAGTATTAGATACAAAAGTCCTCAACAAAATGGTAACCAAATCTAGAAACATGTAGAAAAGGTTATAAAACTGATAAAGTAGAATCTATCTCAGGAAAACAAGGTTGGTTTAACATTTGGAAATTAATGTTATGTACAATATCTGTATTAATAGAAAAGACAAAAAATCATTTTAAAAAGCAGAGAAAGCATTTAATAATATCTTGACATTTGAATAGCAACAATAAAAAAGTTCAACCAATTAGGTAACAAAAGGGACATCATAACTCTATGAAAAGCATCTATAAAAACCCTATGGCCAACATTATACTTACTTGTAAAAGAATGAATGCCTCACCTGGGATCAGAAACAAGGCAAGGATGCCTGCTGCTTCTCCTCAATGTTACTGGTGGTTGGCCAAGGTAATTAGTAAGAAAAACAAAGACTTCTACATTGGAAAGGAAGAAGAGAAGCTATAGTTGTGGGTGACAAGATACTAAACATCCCTCCCCGGGGGGGCAGGGGCAACATCCCAGGGAATCCACTAAAAGACTGAGAATAAATGAGTTCAGCAAGGTTGCAGATTTAAGATCAATATACAAATACATAAAATAGATACAAAATTAATTGTATATACTTGTAAGCAAAAATCCAGGAAAAAAATTCTATTTACAATTGGATTTTTAAAAAATGAATTGCTAAGAAATAAATTTAACAAAAGAAGAGTCAAACATAGATTGTGAAAAAAACCCTTGTACAGAAGCTGAAGATTTCAGTATGCAAGATATGCCATAAGTAAATTAGAACTTAACACTAGAATGGTGATACTCCCAAAACTGATCTAGAGATTCTGCAGACTCTGGACCAAAATCCTAGCTGGCTCACTGCAGAAAACTGAAAAGCGAATCCCAAAATGCCATGCTTGGACTGCCTGATTATAAAGCTCACCACAAAGCTGCAGTACCCAATGCAGTAGTCCTGGCATCAGGATAAACAGAGTTCGAAGGAAGAGAACTGAGAATTCAGAAGTAAGCCTCACATTTACAGTCAAATTGACTTTTAATAAGGGTGAACAAAAAGTTCCACAAGAGAAACACTGGTCTCCAAGACAACTGAGGCTTCTATATGTAAAAGCAGCTGGACCCTACCTCACGTGGTTTACAAAGATTCCCTCAAAATGGAGGAAAGGACCATGTGTAAAAGCTACAGCCATAAAACTCACAGAAGAAAATGGCTCACTCTTCGTGATCATGACCTGTCAGTGGTTTAAGCCTATTCTCAAAAGAAGTGAAAATGGCCAGCATGAAAGTTTATGTCCACAACAGGCATGTTCACAGCAGCATTAGTCACAGGAACCATGAACAGAAGTCATCCAAATGCCCATCAACTCATTATCGAATTCAAGATATGTTGTTTATCCATACAACAAAGAATTACTTTGTAAAAAAAAAAGGAATGAAGCCAGGTGCACACTTATCCTCAGCACTCTGGGAAGCTGAGGCAAGAGGATTCCATGTGTGAGCCCAACATAGGCAACTTAGCAAAACTCTGCCTCAAAAAATAAAAAATGGTAAACAAAACCACCAACAAAAAAGCAGAGGTTGGGGCTGGAGCTGTAGCTCAGTGTGAAAGCCCTGGGTTCAATCTTTAGTGTGTGTAGGGGAGATGATGCAGTACTGATACGTAACACAATGGGGATAAACCCTGAAAATATGCCAAGTGAAAGAAGTGTGTCACAAAAGGCCACATATTGTATGTAGCTCCAATTCTAACCCTAACCAGATTTTAGGCAAATGTAGACAGGCACATGTGTAAAAATACAAAATAAAAGTGGAAGCCTAGAGTTGGAGTGAGGGGGAGTGGACAGTGAATGCTAAAGGGTACAAAGTTTCATTTAGAATTGATAAAAATGTTCTAAAATTAAACTCTGCTCTAGGCTACCCAGCCTATTAATAGATTAAAAGCCAATAAATTGTGTATTTTAAATGTTGGGTGCATTATATTTGAACAAAGAAGCTACCAAAGTGGGGAAGCAAACAGCAAAAGAAGTTGTTGCAGGAGACAAGATTTAGGGAAGCAGATTATGTTGCATTTAGAAAAGAAAAATCTGTAGTGTGACTGCGAAAATGCTCACTATTCTGTATTTTAAAGGGCACATAAGATAAAATGGGGAAGGAGAAAACCTTTTTGCATTTTTGACCTTTTCTTCAATTTTTAAAATAATGTATTTTTTGAGTATGTAGATACTGGCTACTTTTTTGTTCTTTAATTCTCCTTGGGGGGAAAATATCACAAGTTTTTAATACGAAGCTAGCTTAGCTAAAAATTATGTGATACATGCCAGGTGCTGCAGGTGCCTAGACCAGTGAGATGAGGCAGACATGAAAAACACTACCTTCAAAGTTTAAAGTCTTAGAGCTTCTCCACTTGGTACACTTACATATTTAAACACAATGCTCAGTGTCCTTTTTTCAAACATGGAGCAAAACCCACATTATTTAGGATAAAACTAGAGCACTATTAAAATACAGTTTTCTCAATCCTGTCCAAATTGAGATTAAAAATGAGGACAGCAGCTATGAAGTCCATAACTCAAAATCACCTAGATTCAGGGGGCAATAAAAAAATCCAAACTGAGTCAAAAACAATGGTCTGGGGTCCCATGAGACACCTCAGTACTATTTACAAACAGGAATGGTGCACAAAAAGATGGGAATTGAATTTTTAATGTACTTGAAATCATATAAAGATGTTAAATCTACATGAAGATACTTACTATTCTTCAGTAAACATAAAACATCACGGAATGATAAGTGCTTTTTAAAAATCAGAGCAAGCTTCAAAGTGGTTAAATTTAAATTCTTCTGCTGCATTCTCTATGTGTAGCAAAGAAGTATTACTGACCACTGTTACTCATATCAGGAGAACAAAATAATTCAAGAGAGGACCAAGAATAGAATTCTGACTCTCCCATGGCTTAGACATGCCCTCATTCTGAAAAGTCATATTCTTATTTAAGTAGGTAAAAATTCTGAGTCTCAGGTTCCTGTGGGATTTCCTGTAAACTTGACTCTGTTCCCATTACCATCTGTTTTAGCCTTTTGTAAGGGAGCTCAATGGAGGACTACACAACAAGATGAATGTTTCTAAGTGGCGTATGAACCCACAAAGGGACTCATATGAGCCTGAATCAAGAAAAGGATCCATCTCTGACTAAAACCCAAAACTCACCCAATTTTGTAATGCTTCAAATGTAGAATGGCATTGCTCTTAGAAATCATAGTTCCAACTTGCAATATACAGTGGCATTTCTCCTTATTCTGACAGTTTGATTAAAATTTACACAGAGCTAAGGGGTTTAAGCTGAAGAAAAGTGCGTTCAGTATCTAAAACTACCAGCAATTGCTTTCCAGCAGAGTTAATCATACTTACGTCAACATCCTCTTGGGTGAAAGTTTCGGGGTCCTCCCCCATCATGTTGGCTAAATGTCTCTTTCCTATATTAAATTCTTCAATCTGCTTTTTAATAAAATCCTCTGTGTATGTCTCCTGTCTGGAGGCAGGAACATTCTTCTTTGTTGTTACAATTGTGGTATGTATTAGCCTTGATATCTAACAGAAAATATAAAAGGAAAGGAAAAATTTGAAATTGAACAGTACTCTAATGGGCCACTGTCGCTAAGTAAAACAGGATATTCACATAGATATCTTTTTCATTATGGTACTCAGTGGATAGGGGGTCAGAACTGAAATTCAGAAACTGCTCCCTGCTCAAAAGCTTGCTTACCAACTAGGTTAACCTATTATGGTAGCACAGCAACACCACTGTAAAAACTACCCAAGAAGAACATGACAGAACCTTGTCTGCTCTAGCATCCACACCGGGCCCTGGTTTGCCAAGGGCAGCAAGCTGTAACATTTACCATATGAAGCAGAGTAAAAAGCACCTCCCTCAGGAAGAGGCAAACATACCCAGAGGTGAGCAGAACACCTGGGAATAACAGGCAGGTACTCTGGCAATGACTCTAGACCTTGGGCACTCAGCCTGCTTGGGAAGGAAAAATTCTGCCCATTGTCTTCCAGTAGGCTGCCTCAGAATGGGGCTTTATGCCTTGGTTCTTGGACATGGTGAAGAAACTGATATAATAATGACACTGCTTCACTAACTGCTATGACGAATTCTTATTAATTTGATTCAATATGCTAACTGGAAATAAAAGCTGTATCTTTTTTAAAAACATCAGTAATTATATCACACTTATCACACTTAGTGCTATAGTCATTTTTGCTGTGACACTAGGAATTTCCTTCTATAGCATTAATATTTCACTTTCGATAAAGGTGTTAAAGAAAATGGTTTAAATGATACTCTGCTGCATTCAGTAGCTGGATTTAACTAGAACAGATCTGGACTGGCTTTTCTTATGATCTTATTCTGCCCTGACAATTCTAAACACCCTGGAAGCAATATTCAAATTTTAACACTGCAATCTTAGTAATCTCCTAACTTCTCTTTCCAAACATAAAAATCATACACATACACCCCATCCATCAGCCCATTCCTCCCACAACTTTCCTCTCCCCTCTTGATATCCTCTGCAGTAATTCATCACTATAGTTACAATAGTAGATATGATTTTAAAAATACAGGACAAATATTAAAATGTCCAATTAATGGTAAAGATTATAATTAAAATCCAAATTAACATAGTGAAAAAAGTTTCTTCTAAGTCTTTAATAGGTAACAAAGGGCAAGTACAAATTCAATGAAGCCAGGCGTGGTGGTGTGCACCTCCAGCAGTCCCAGAAGCTGAGGCAAGAGGATCACACTTTGAAGCACAGCCTAAGCCACTCAGGGACTTAGAGAGACCCTTAAAAAAAAAAAAACCATAAAACTTTACGGTTTATTTCTCCACTGGCAAGTATATAAGAGTTTCTCCTTATTACATGTTGTTAGTAAAGTTTATATTTTCTTACAGTGCTTTGTGAAGACACAGTGTTGCCATGGATGAGTCAAAACACAGGATCTGCAGCAGCCCCCACAGAGGAGGTTTATTCTCTGGTCCAGTTACCTGTAGCTCAGGCTAAATGCAGTACATGAGACATTCTGAGGGCAGACAGGCCACATTCTCCTACTTTCACTACTGTGTAATGTTATACCTGTTCCATCTGCCTAGCAGTTACTGTTGCCCATCTCTTCTTGGGTCTAGTCACAGACTGAACTTTAGCACAGGCATGTTGCACTAGGAAAATAGAGTACACACTTTGGTGCTGTCTCTGGTTTCCCACAGCCAAGATGAGTCCTGGGGTCACCCCTGTGGTTAGGGCAACCTGCTCTGCTCCTTTATAGAGGCAGCAGCTCATTTTATACCCTGCCCATAGCCAAGTGCCACATGTAATAACTCCCCACCCTAGTAGTTTGTGACCTTTCACAAGACTTGTTTTTGTTTTATATGTTTCCATGTTTGCTTTGAACAAAAAAGGAGGCTGCTTCCTATATTCAAAATGAACAGCAAGTGCCTTTTTGTCTCAGAGATAAGGCAAAGGAATGAAGTTGGGCTGAAAAGCAACAGTCACATGGAGAAGCAATTCTCCCAAGTGCTCTGTGCCAGGATTATACTGCTGGTTTTGTAAGTCATGGGACAGGATGTTTCTTCCCATTCTTAATACAAGTGAGTCTAAATTCAAGCAAAATTCTGAATGTATTCTTCTAGGTCACCATCACCATACTGTCCTAAGGAGAAGAAATGAGCTCCCCAGTGTGTGTGGCTCCGTTCTCTGAAGGAATTCTGGAGAAGAAGCAAGATCCAGAGGCAAGAAGTGAGTTCAACTTTGAGAATGCTGGGTGAGATGTCAGATAATGTGTGCACTGAGGCCTGAGGAGAGCTACCTGTCTATCAAAGATCTCGTGGACATGATGCCACACCAGGTACTAACCAGTGTTAGAGAAGGGGCTCTCTGCTACGTAAAGAAACAAAGTAACTTACAAGAAAGGGGGGCAGGCAGAAAGGTAAAGTTATTGCATAGTTTCTTTGGGAAGTAGAAGGTGAGCTGGTCTGCTCAGAGGCTAAGTGCTCAGTTTGATGAACTGCGTACTTCAGGTTCAAAGGGCAATGATGAGCTGTGTAAAGTATAAAAAGAAAGGCTGAAAGAAAAGACTATGAAAAAATTTAAATATGCATTCATATTAGAAGTGAGCTAGGAGAACACTAGGAAAGACACCCATACACTATCTAGTATTTTGTCAATGATCTTTTCTTTTCCTACAGATTTCCTTCATAAGTTACAGTGGTACATGTGATACCGTTTTTTTGTTCCAGAAGATACATCTTATGGCAGATTGTATCCTTCAGCATTACAAAGTTTCCCACTCCCCTGAAATACTTTTTAATCACAAATTCAGTTCTGTTGAAACACTGTACACTGAAATATTGTAACCCTTTCAACCACCTAATTAAATCTCCCTGGAATATCATGCTTCTCATTTAAATCTTATGACATTTTGGCGATTTATGAGGTAGGCTCACAAGGGCCGCCTGCAGGGTCAGGGATGGAGGAATGCAGACCAATAGTCTGTGATCTGGAGAGCCACAAGATCCAGTTGAAGGTCAAAGATCTGGAGCTCACTGCAATCTGGTGCAACTTTGCTTCAGGAAGGAACTGGAGACCAGTGCCCAAAGGCAAAGGCAAATATCAGAGCCCTTTCAAAGAAAAGCCCCTCCTTCTTTCCTTTGTTAGTTCACCCGCCGGTCTTCCCGCCTCAGTGTGTGACCTAAGTGTCAATCATCTGCCAGGCAGCTCTTACTCAAATCAGGCTGACAAATCACAACTAATGATCAGTTTTTTTTTTCTTTTGACACAGTTTGAATTTTCAATGGACAAAAACTTATGTGGGTTTTAATAGCCATAATGTCTTATTAATCTTATCTTTACATTTTTAATGCTTCCAGTTATCTTTCTTTTGGTATGTGGAATTTTTTAAAAGTTTGTCAATTGCAATTTGGGCAGTATACAGCTTGTTCTTATTTTACTAGGATGCTTCAGAATAAAATGTTTAAATGTAGTTTTACAAACTCTGGAAATAAAACCACATCCACTGGATTCTCACCAACTCACTAGCAGTGAGCCACTCTCTGTACTCCTTCTGCATTGGTCTAACTTCCTGTCTCTTGTTTCTGCACCTGTACAGTTTTTATGGCTTTACTCCATGGTTTTCCCCTTTCCAGAATGTCTATTCCTCTTACTGCAGTCACTGTGAATTTTCAACTTTCTGTATCTTCAAAACTCAAGCCTCATCAATCTTTTAATCTGATCTTTTTGTTTTATCCTATCCCAAAGCTTGAAGAATGTCTGCACCAGAGAGAATAGCTGTGGTAAAACACAGTAGCCCCCTCCATCTACGGAGACTTTTCAAGATCCCTGGCGGATGCCTGCCTGAAGCCACAGGTATCTCTCCCATTGTATATAACTATGATGTTTATTTTATACATTAGGTGTTGAAGCAATTAATAACAACAATAATAAAACAGAACAATTACAATCACATGCTGCAGTAAAAACTGTAGATGGGGTCTGTTCAGAATGCAGTTGGCAACAGACAAATGAAACTAGAGGACTCAAAACCGTGGATAAAGGGGGCCTAATGTAACCTTCCATTTTGTTGAGTAATTTTCTTCATCTACCTTTTCCACAATATTCCTTTTCATCTTTGGCTCCTATAACATTTTAATATTTTCTCAAGACTCCCAAGATTTTTTTTAATTGTAAAATGTCACATCTATTCACATTCTCTAGGTTTTGTGACCCAAGAGGGCAGTTTTCCTAGTTTTAACTTAAGTGAAGCCTAAATATATTTATAAAAGTTTTATTGTTGTTCATTTAGAAAGGGCTTAAAAACATGACCCTAATTTGCTATTTATCAGAAGAGTTATTTAGGATCTTTTCAAAGACTTATCTACACAATGTTCAAGAATATGACATCCTGAAAATTCAGTCTTTATTACATCTGCAAAGTTATCACAGCATTATAGCAGGCTATTGAATATATTTGTCAAAGCTCTAACTTATTCCAGCAAGGACCTCATAGAAAAATATTTACATTCCAATAAGTCCATCGTGTTGCTAGTACAATTCATTATGTAACATGAGGCTAGGCGTATACAAAGAACAGATCTTTAGCCAAAAATGCAAAGACTTCCTGGAGAGAATTTCTCTGCCAGTGTTAAGAACAATTCTCCACAAAATTTTCTACAGGTTTCATTTCCAATCAAAAAACCATGTGGAGCGAATTCTCACCAGACTCTGTGTTTATGGAACAGTACAGATACAACCTGACAGTTTCCTTCTGAAGACAACCAGTGGGTCACACAACTATGATTTCACACAAGCAGACTGCCAAAAAAGCCAACACATCCTGCCAGTAGTGCTGTCCCAAATGGCCACCTGCCAGCATTAACTCTACTTTAATGGTATTACCAGGGTATTAAGGAATTTCTTTTGGTTTAATTATATAAAAATGAAACAAAGAATATGCTGCTAATCTGAATAGAAAAGGAAGGAAAATTACTATGAGGAATTTTTAAAAAGGTAAAGATTGAAGTCAGATTAGAGAAAATGTGCATAGAAGAAGCAACAAAGGGACTTGAGAGCATGATTATAGTGACCTTTCCGAGCAGACTTACACTTAGCCAGTTAGAGGCCCATCTGTGCAAGCCAAAGAAACTGCTTCAATTTACCTCTGTCCTTAAGAAGGCTGCTGTTAGGACCCCACAGGAAGAAACTTGAAAGCAGGCCAGGTTCACAGACTCTGGCAGCTGAAGAGCCAGAAGCCCACTGACCCAAGCAGGCACAATGTAGCCAGAAAGGCTGTTCAGGTGAAACTGGCTCCAACCATGTTGTCCCCAGTCTCCAGATCTCAAGGAGGGAGAGTCTAGTGGGATTATCTGGATGAGGTGCCAGATTATAGTTCTGGTGGAACATTAAATGGAAAAGAACAAATTCCTCCAGGGGAAACTGGGGTGCTGTTACGAGGCAAAATGGATGCTAGGTTAAACAAACTAGGAAATTCAATACACTGCTGAAAAGTTAGCCTGTTCAGTCATTTGAAAACTTAGAAATTAAGACTTAATACACTTATCAACTGTAGAGGTCACGTACCCGAGCAATGTACTCACATTAGTTTGCTATAGGCAACTCCTCTGCCACCTGGATGACAGTGGTGACAGTTGCCTAAACTGTTTTCAGGACTCTGGAGGTCACTCATATCAGCTGAAATCACCTACACTTCTCTTGAGTCTGTGCAAATCTCTGATAACCTAGCTTTTGATGAAAGAAGGCTAAAATTCCACCTTTGGAGCAAGCTAACACTGCCATGGGTCTTGAATATGGAGTTGACTAGGTGATTGAACTGAGCCAACTATAAAAAGTTATTGTTGGGACAATCATGGAAATTTGAATTGGGAATGGGTAATAGATGATATGAAATTATTGTTCATTCTGTTAGATACAGTAGTGGCATGGAAGCTGTTTTTAAACAAGGTATCTGTTGGAGACATATATACAAGTACAAGTAAAATATAAATGTCTTGAATTTACAATGATTGACTCGATGAAAGTATAGAGAGAGGAAACAGGACTGACAAAGCAATAATTGTTGCCACTCGCTGACAAGTCATTATATTCTATTTTTGTATATGATGTTTTTCATAATAAAGTTCTAAAAATTAAATTATTTTATAAGTTTAACAAATTTGAGCAAGTTCTATGGGCTAGGCTGTGTACTTGTTTTTAATAAAGCAGAATTGAGTGGTGTTAAAATGAGGACTGCCATAATGAATCACTGATCCTATTTGGCAAAAAGAATAATAAAGCAGGTGTAACATGTACACATATGGGGACACACATATACACATACACACAGGAATTCTCTATAAGTATTTTGGGTTTGAGGGGGTTTGAGAGAGGGTCTTGTTCTATTGCCCAGGCTGCCCTGGAATTCCTGGGCTTACAAACTCACGCCATCTTCCTGATTCTACCTCTGATTGCTGAGGGTTCATGCATGTACCGTGTACCAGGCCCAAAGGTTTATGAGACAGTGAGCTGAGCTCCTTGCAGACACTGTGCTGCAGTAGGCATACTGGTGGGGATACAAAGGCTATGGGCTATACTTTTCATTCATTCATTCATTCATTTATTGGTTTTTTTGAGACAGGGTCTCACTATGTAGTTGAGACTGACCTGGAACTCACCATGTAGCCCAGGTTGGTCTCGAACTCACAGTGATCCTCTTGCCTCAGCCTCCTAAGTGCTGGGATTACAGGTGTGTGCCACCACGCCTGGTTCATGGGCTATGCTACTCTTATCCCCAAGAAGTTTACAGAGCAACTTCACAACATCAGACACTTAAAAAAACAGCACAAGAAATACATGAGGGTTTTCCACTCTTGTCCACAGCTCTGAGAGGTCTTCCTGTAGTTCTTCCACCTGGGACTGATGCTCTTGTGTGAGTGACCCCTTCCTCCTAAGTGTAGGCTGAACCTAGTGACTTGATTCTAACAAGCAGATCACAATTAAAAAGATAGATGGTACTTCTGAAATTAGGTTCCAGAAAACACTGTCCTCCCTCTTTTTTACCTTCTCTTGATCAAAATGATAGAAGGCAGATGTGGTGAGGTTCTCTAGAGAAGGGTTTGATGTCCAGAATACAGGGAGGATGCTGGCCAAATGCTAGCAAAAAACTGGGGCCAACAGCCTGCAAAGATCTAAATCCTGCTAAGGGTCACAACAGAGACGGCATGGAAGTGGATTCCTCCCAGGTGGGCCAATACCAGACTGCTGCTATAGGAGACCTTGGGCAAGAGGATCTGACAAAGCAGGCCTCAAGCTCTGACCTCCAGAAACTGAAGGATAACAGTGTCTGCTGTTTTAAGCTGCTACATTTTTGGGTTATTTATTATGCATCAATAAATAATACAGTCACCATCCTAATTACAATAATGAAGCAAAATACAAAAAAGTTTATTTTGTTCTATAAGGAAAAGAGAGGTGGAGATTTTGGTGGCATCAGGCTTTCTTTAAATGAGAAATTATAATCACTCCATAAGGAAAACATAGATTTTAATATAGAGGTATTTTCATAATTAAAGCAAGGAGGAACACTAGACTCTATTCTTGTAAGAACAGGATAAGCTCTCAAAAGAATCAACTTATCCGCCTAGTTTTCATTTTCATTGTTAATAAACTAAGAAAACACACACACAAATTACCTGGGAGGGATCATAAGTATTTATAGACCTGTATAAAGTACTTAACGAAAATGTAACTTAATTTTTTCAAAGCATTTTTTAGCCATTTTTAAAAAAAAAATGTCAAGGCATTATGGTAAACCAAAGGGAGGCTATGATTCATATAAGATGTTCTAACCTCCAAGAGTCCATGCGATGAAAAGCAAAGATACTTTAGGTAGAGACAGGAATGTGCTTACAATGAAACCAAAATATGTCTCCTATCATTCTTCTCTGGCATATATATGGTCCAAATCAACAAAGGCATATTGGTTAAGTAAAACTGGAAAGAGGAGGCATTCAGAAAGTGCTTGCTGAGAAACTAAAAATTAAGAAGCTATCCTACAAATATTTTGTAGTGATATTTTTCAAAACTGGTCTACTGCTTTTTCATATTATAAAAATCAGAAATATATAAAAAGCTGGATTAGCACTTTTATATTAGTTATACTAAAGAACTTATGGGTAACTTTTGTAGAACTCCAAGAAAAGGAATTGTCAAGTACTCATAGTGGAACACTATTTTCATTTATGACAGGTAAAAAAATTGAAGTACCTTCGCATAGCAAAGCAGATCCTACTCTGACTCCTGCCAAACTTTCTAGTTCCACTTGTCACCAAGGAAACCTGAAAGAACCCTCTGGCTTCACTTACTTTTCTCACCAACTGTAGAAGTCACGTACATACTCACTAATGTAAACTAATGTAAAAATAATGTACTCACATTAGTTTGTTATAAGCAACTCCTCTGCCACCTGGATGACGGTGGTGACTGTTGCCTAAACTGTTTTCAGGACGCTGGAGGTCACTCATATCAGCTGAAACCACCCACACTTCTCTTGGGCCTGTGCAAACGTGTGATGACCTAGCTTTTGATGAAAGAAGGCCAAAATTCCATTGGAGCAAGCTAACACTGCCATGGGTCCTGAATATGGATCCATTAAAAGCCATGGAGTTGACTAGGTGTCAACCATCCATTACTTCTCTTTTCTGTACTTCTAGTAGTCTTTCTCCATGCCTCGAACCACCCCTTTTTTTTGTTTGTTTGTTTGTTTGTTTTTTATACAGGAGCATCCCTAAATTCTATCCTCAGGAAGGCAGATTTGAGACTTGCTCTCCTATGTTCACAAGTTTGGCTGCCTTTGTAAATCAACTCTCTTGCAGAAACTCGTTTCAGTGATCAGTATACTATGTGTAGTAGGCAAAACATGCCCGGTTAAATAACATCATTCTCTCATCAAGTCGTTCGGCCCCACAGGGGTCTGGTTCTCCTCCAGCCCCAGACCCCACCCTACACCCACGCAACCAAGCACACAGTTGGGAGGGGTCGCTCGGCCTCACCCACTCTGCAAAACCAGGCTGCAGAGGAGCGGCTGCTCGGATGCCCACCTTAACACCCAAGCTCAGACTCACCTAGGACCTCGGGTCCCCAACTGAGGACAAACGACAACGGTTTCCAGTTCACCCAGACCTTACCTGGGGTCTGGTATCTGCCTGCAGGCCGGCCGCCAAAGATTTCCAGGGCCCTTGGCTCCGGGCGAGGATGACCTTACCCCCGAGGAAGAACCTGCAGGAAAGCGCACTACTACAGGAAACACAGGGCGCCGCCATGTTGGCCAAGACCCGGCAGGGTAGGGTGAAGGGGGGGCGGGGCCGACTCTGCACAGGCGCAGAGGCGCGCCTTGCCCCGGAGGCTGTCGGGAAGATCGGGGGGGGGGTTGAATGCCGCGGCGGCGGGGGGGGGGATCTCCCCGATGATTGGCTACAGGGAGCACTTGGCTCCACCCTTGGGCGGGGTCATCGGTGCCAGAGACCTGTGCATCAACGCTCGCCTTGCTCCACTGAACTGTATTCCTACCTCGGGTCTCCTGGGCTCTCAGGTTCACTCGGCTCTCTGGTCCACACGGCTCTCTAACCAGCTCTTCCCTCGTAGTCCTGGCTCGCCTCCGGTGGTCCCAGGGCCGCGATGGCTGCGCACCAGCCCTCCCACACTGGGATTGCCCTTCCTCTGAATGCCCAAGCTGCTTGGGCCCAGGTCCAGACCGGCTCCGACACCTGGCACTCACTGTCACACGGTGTCACTCCAGGATGGGGATCAGAACTGCCCAGAGCCATGCTGCTTCCTACCAAATCACGTCCAATAATCCACTCTTGAAGGGCTTCCAAACCCGAAGAAACAGTAAAGTAAAACACACACACAAAAAATCAGATCGTGCAAAGTGATTGAGCAAACATATGCCGTGTATATCATCATCTTACAAAACATTTTAACATGAAAAAGTAGAAATAGCATAATTTCAAAATAAATATCATATAGTTATATGAGAGGCTCACCCAGTTGTCTTCATTGTTGTTATGCTTTAAACGAGTGAAAATTTTATCAGAAATGGCAGAGGTCCATGAACTAGCATTTGGGAACCAAGACTATAGCTCACGAAAATGGGCACCTTTAAATATCAGTTCCTACATATTGCAGAATTTTTAAAAAATTAAATGTTAAATAGTGGAAATACAACCAACTGGAAAACAAATATATAGAAACAAAATTTATATGGTAAAAAATGTATGTTGAATCATATAAACTGTACTGACATTAGCATTAAAAGTTGTGGAGTTTTTTATTATTATGCTTTAAATCCATGTTATACTCTTCTTTTAGAATGCAGCACATTTCCCATTTCTGGGGGCAACAGTTGTACTACTCATTACATTTGCTGTGTTGCCTTTGAGTTTGGGGTCACATAGTGCTACAGGTTGACACTGGGTATATAATTTGGAGATGAAAAGATTGAAACATGCCAATACACATTTAAAATATCAAAAAAGTACTTCATCAAATGTATGATGCCTTGATTCCTTCTATTTTTCTCTCCTTTACTCAGCAACTATTATGTCATAACCAGCAGTCACCCCAGGGACTGAAAGTCCAGTCTGACAGAATTGTGTGTCAACTGAGTTCTGGTTCTAAAGTCAATTTATAAACATCAAGAGCATCAAAATATTGGATTAATACCATGTGTTGAGATGAGAGGTATCAGGAAATGTCAGATGCTGCTGGTAGGAATGTAAATTAATATAGCTCTCATAAAATGAATCAACTAATCAGAGACCTGCTAAAGGTCAGGCAAAGACACCCAAAAATCAATCAGTTGCATTTCTAGGTATGTTACCCTGCAGAAATTCATGCAGGAGACAGGTATAAGAATGTTCACGGCAATATGTTTTGTATAAAAAAATTAAACCTTTCTGTTGGTGTAAGGATGGGTAAAGGAAGACCATACAACAAAGGAACCGCAACACACATATGAATATGGTTAAGGTTCACCCAGTGGAACAAAAGACAGGAAGCACACGGGCACGCACACAGTGTGACTGCACTGTGTAAAGTTAAAAAACAGGCACAACTGAGCAAGATATTACTTAAGGGTTTATTTCCAAGGTAGTAAAACCATAAAGGAAAGCAAGAGAAAGGTAGGCACAAGATTTGCCCCTGGGAGGAAGGCAAGGGGATCACAGAAAGGACATGGGGGAGGGACCATGTGGTTTATGGATTGTTAGAGAAATCCCGTAGACATATCTAGTGCAATGGCTTTAAAACACCCAAAAGTATTTGCATGATTTTCCCCCTTGAGTGTAAGCTGGATGGAAAGACTTGCCTAGGAATAGAATGGAGTGGAAGTTTAGGTGGATATGCTTGGACTTTAGTCTCAAAAGGTGCTGTGCTTCCTGCTGGCTCTGCTCTCCTGACTTCCTTTCTGGGTGAAGTGGACATTGGTCCCTCATAGTCCCATAATGGGTTCCCAGTAGAGCCTTTCTAGGCTTGCAGCCCACCCCCATGTCTCAACTGTCACCAAAGGAAATACTGAGCCAGAACCCAGATCACAGTTGAGGTCATTCATATGTTTTACATCATTAAAGTGTGACTTAGTAGAGAACTCATAAACCTGGGAATTGTTGGAAATGCAAGCCCTTGGTCACAGCATAGACCTGCTGTGTCTGGGTGCAAGGATCAGCTGAAAGCCCTCCAAACAATTCCAGATACTTTCTCCTTTTTCTTTCTTTTTAGTTTATAATTTGTTTTTACATTTACTCCACCAGCAATGCTCTTTTCCCATTTCCCACCTTGTTCATCCAGCAGATTCCTCTACATCTTTATCATCCTCATTATTATCTCAGTGGTGAAAATATATAACATAAACTTTACCATTTTAACCATTTTAAGTAGCATTGAATGCATTTTCATTGTTTTGTAGACATTACCTTCATCATTACCCAGAATTTTTTTATCTTTCCCCATGAAAACTTTGTACCTGTGCACACTAACTCCTCACTCCAACATACACAGAGAGAGAGAGAGAGAGAAAGAGAGAGAGAGAGAGAGAGAGAGAGACAGAGACAGTAAAACTTTGTACCTGTGCACACTAACTCCTCACTCCAACATACACAGAGAGAGAGAGAGAGAGAGAGAGAGAGAGAGAGACAGACAGACAGAGACAGAGACAGAGAGAGCGCACTCTGGAAACCACCATTCTTTCATTCATATATATATTTATTGGTACATTTTAGATATACAATACAGTTACATTCATCATTGGGATCTTGTACCTTTACATGGTGCATCTTGTTTCTTATTTTTCCCCATTCCCTGAGCACCACCATTCCTTCTGTTTGTATTCAACAGCTTTAGGGGCCTCATGCCAGTGGAATCATACAGAATTTATTCTTTTATGGCTGCATTATTTCACTTAGCACAGTGTCCTCAGGATCCCTCTATGTTTTAATAATGATTTTAAGGCTGAATAATATTCTGTTCTGTGCATGGACCATGCATTGCTTATCCATTCATCCACTGATAGACATTTGGGCTGCTTTCTCCTTTTGTGTATTATGAGTGATTCTTCTATGAACATAGGTATTGAAGTATCTGCTCAAGTCCCTGCTCTCAATTGGTTTGAGTACACAAGGTGTTATTTAAGAATATGTGAAAGCTTAAATATAAAAAAGAATTACAGTAAAAGATGCATTATCATTAAACCCCCTCCAAATACTCTTTGAATACACTTAGCCCACTGTCCTTGCCCCTTTCTGCAGCAGTTTGGGAAGGCCTCTTTCCTGAGTATCTTTGTGCTGTCACGGCTGCCTCTATGTCCAGAATCAATTGAAAACATTTCCCTTTCATAGCAATTTTGACTTTGAAGAAGAGCCAGAAGTTGCACGGTGCCAGATTTGTTGGAAAAGGTATATGAAGATACACTATAATGTTTATAATGCCTGCCTTTCCATTGGATGGCTCTTGGCAGCAGCATTCACTTGTTTTTTTTATTTCATCTCCTAAAGATACTTATGAAAGAGGACTTTCAGAACTGCTTCTTAGAGGAGCAAGTATGATGGGATAAGTGTGTTTTACTCAAGGGGGTGATTTGGAGGGGAATTAATGCCAGTGTATCTTTTATTGTAGTCAACTTTTTATTTAAACATTTGTCCTATGGTTTAACCACAACTTGCAGACTGAGAAATGTAATTTTAGGTTTATTTCTTTTTAATGTAGTCAGATTTTTAACTTAATCCACACAGGCAGGTGCCCAGAACAGAATATGTTGGTGATATTTAAATCCAAAACTTGAAAAATCTCTAGTTATCAAGGCTACACCCAGGTAGATAAATAGTATATGTGGGGTAAGGAAATGAGCAATGCAAAATTCATTGAAATGGCAAAATATTTAGGAAGTAATTTCCATATATAATTGTTATATGTCAAGCTTCTATAACCACTTAAGAACAAAATCTGTCTCATTCTAGAAGTAAATCTAGTCTTTGGAGATGCATATATTTTACCATATTAATTGAATTTTAATAAATAACAAATGGAACGAGTATCTTCTGTGATTCTTTTTTCACTGCCTAGGGTGGACCAAATTCCTCCACATCTGCTCCTTACTTAGGTAGGAGCTGTCAATTATGTTTGCTGTAAAACTGACAACGCACCCAGGGAGCTGTCAGTCATTCCTGTTATGATGCTTCAAGCATCATTTCTCCAGGCACAGTTATCAAAATAAAACAGATTTACATGGAACATAAAGGTGGATCAAGCACTCCATTTGCTGTGCATTGAAAACATCTTCAAACAGGCCCAAGTCCAGGGACTGTGTGTGCAGGGCCAGCTCTTCCTGTACTGTATTTGCAATTTCTTTGCATAGATTTTGACATCTTTACAAAATGCATGTAGACAATGAAATCAGTTATTGTTGGTGGGATTCAAAGTGGTTCCTCTATTTGAAAATGTTCTGCAACATTCTTTTCTGTTCTGTTCTTTTGTGGCGCCAGAGACGGAACCCAGTGCCTTGTGTAAACCATGCAAGCATTCTGCCACTGAACTGTACACCAGCCCTGATGGGGACTCTTTTCATCCATCCTAAGCAGAGACTCAGACTTGATATGACATTCCTCTGGTGGGGCAATAAGCGAAGGAAAATATGATCTAGCAAAAGAGCACTAAATAGCCAAGGGTATAGGCTGAATAAAGTCAGGATACTAGGACTGTGAGAATTTTAAAAAATATATGAACAATGAATATAATTGAAATAATAAAATCACTAAGAGTATGGCAAAAATAAATATAAACTTAATCTAATTCCAGAAAACTAGAACCTGGGTGAAACTCCTTGAGGAATGAAAAAGATTATAATACAGATAG